TTTTTTTTATGATAGAGAACTGGACAGGGCGAAGACTTCTTCGCACTAATTTTTTTATATGTATAAAATTATTTATACAACAAAATAAGCAGAAAAGAGATTTCTTTGCCCAATTTTTTTTATCAGTAATAGAATGAAACAAATATGTTTAATGAGAAAATACAGAATAAAGTTTTACGCACAAATTTTTTTTATATAGTACAGTATAAACTTATTTGCAAATTTTGTAAATATATTAATTCCCTCAAAATTTTAGCCTTTTACGGCCGCTTTCCGTCAAGCGGTCCGCTCGGCTTTCGGCACGAGTACCCAACCTTGGTAAAATTTCGATGGGCGACGGATCTTCTGCCCCTATTTTCAAAAATGTTCTTGGCTGTCGTGCCATTTATGTGACGCTAATGTTGTGTGTAATAGTGGATATTACACCGTTGTATAGGAAAATGCTCAAAACTGAAAATTTTCACTGTCGAGTCCATCGGATCGCGTATTCTTTGTAAGAAGTGCTATCGACGGATCGAAAAATTCGAAGCGACTGTTAAAGAAGTTGCAAATTTAAACTGAGAATATTAAAAAAAGAATCGTGTTCGTTGGAAAGGAGAAGCTATAAATAACAATTACAATCGGACTTTTGGGGTAATTGCTGTTGTTCAAATGAGCTCAAATTGTGCAGTTCAACACAGACTCCAGGAATTAGTTGACTGAAATAACGATTTACTGAATACCATTGGCAAAACCGCCAAAACATCCTTGCTGCGAGTAAATTTCCCAATTCCATCCCTTTGCTCGGCGTTTAAGTTGACAACAACGTTAAACGTTTAGAGAGCTTTTGTTATGGCTTTGTCCAGATCTTGGTCAGTCACGCTCGCACGCTTACTTGTTTTACGTTCTTCCCCACGGATTTTCGTGGGAAAGAGAGACTGCTCGCGCGCAGTCTAAGAAACCTTTCGTTCCAATGATATCTCTTTTCGTCTTGCACGCTAGCCCGTACTCCGGAGAAACTCAGAAAAGTAGGCTATTGGTCAGAGAAGCCAAATTAGGAGAAAGATTTGGTCTTAAAAAAAAGTCAGGGTTTTAAACAAAAGTAAAAGGAAAATGATTAGTCAGCCTATGCGATTAGGAAGGTGGCGTAATATGTACAGGCATATGCCGAGAGCTAAAATGAAAATGTGACATTCCATGGATCAGTACGATTCAGGTGGCATGCTTTGACAACCAATAGCATACGATTCTAGTGTTACAGCAGAATAAAAATCACTCAGACGAATGGACAGAATGCGTGTGAATTTGAGTTCAGTTAAAATTTATGGTTGGCCATTCGTTTCAAAATTACGACAGAGTATACGCGGGTTTTNTGTTACAGCAGAATAAAAATCACTCAGACGAATGGACAGAATGCGTGTGAATTTGAGTTCAGTTAAAATTTATGGTTGGCCATTCGTTTCAAAATTACGACAGAGTATACGCGGGTTTTTCTGCCGCGTATACTTGTTTAAATAAGTTACGTATGGGCTTTAAGCTCATATATACGACCATTTAGATCGCGTATATACGCATTTTTAAAGGGCCACATACTTGCGTAAATTCAAGCGCGGAGATCTGCGAAATAAATGTCCAAATATACGCGTCCTACAAGGACCCATATATACGCGTGCTAAAATGCGCGTATATGCCGGTCTCGTAAATTAGGTTTTATATGCCAGCACGAAATGTGCCTTTATAGAGAATGGCTGTTCGCGTATGATAGCAATGAAAATTACTTTAACTAGGATTCGTCAATATGGCGGCAGTGGCAAAATGCCTTGTCTTGCTCTATCTGCTATTTACTGAATGTTTATTACCGCAGTTCTCCAATGAATGAACTTCTAGAAACAGTTATGCGTGTTTTGAATAACTGTTCAAGATTTTATCCTAACGCCAATCGTCGTGAAGTTGCTGTGGATTACCCTGTCCATCGTTTAGTGGCCTGCGTAGCTTGGCGGTTTTTAGGCAATTTGAACGCGCTAAGAAAGCGGCGAAGCCGCGATAACGAGCGCCAAATGCGGCGTAGCCACGAGGAGCCTGGGGAGGTTCCTGCTTGTTTTCGCGGCTTTGTCGCTTTGTGCGCTCGCGCTCAAATTGCTTAAAAAATAGCGAAACCGTCAAGCTACGCAGGCTAATCCTTGAGTTGACTCATTGGACAAAGGTACCAAGGCGAATGCTGAGAGGATACAGCCGCTAGAATCGCTGGTGAGACAAATACAATATTTACTACTTAGATGAGAAATGTTTGCATTAAGAACAGTTTCATGCACCTCAGTGTACTCCCATTAGGGCTTTGCCAACTGTATCAGCTTCTAATGGAAGAGTGGGTCGTCCAGCCTATGATATATCAATACCTCAAGGGGAGTTTTAGGAGACAGAATGTGATTTTAGTGTAAGTCCTATTGGGTCTTCACCAGATAATTCATCTGCCTGGATGTTATCATCAAATGTGTCCCTGACAGCTAGTATTTCCAGTATTACATATATCAAGTGTAAAAGCACTGCGTTCACCCATATTAATTGTGCGTACAGCATGGTTATTCCATGCTTCAACTAGGAGGTTTAACTGCTTGTTAATTGTGGAAAGAAATATGTAATACAAACAGAACAGATCGATTATGCTGGTCGATTCCAGGATGCCATTTTCTTC